GCATTATTGAAAGGTTTTTTTTTTTGTTTCTTTTTTAAATTATTAAAATTATGTCACGTAAGATGATTACTATAGTTGTTCACTATAAATAACATTATAGGTATAGTTAAGTATGCATTTGTTTTTGGATAATAAGCATCCCTATATTGTTCATAAATATAGGATATTAAGACAGTTACTTCCCGTTGATATAGCATAGGTCAAGTTAATAATTAAATGTTTAGTACAAAGGATCATGCAACATAACTATTTTTTTTTTGAAAAAAGTTAAAATCAATTGTTATGATTGTTGTCACGTCAAACAATATCAAATTTAATGTCAACTACAATGTACATGTAGCAAAACTTAACACCATTAATGTCTTGTATTAAAGAGTAAAGGACCAATTTGCTATTACGACAATAAGAGTATGTTTGAGTGACTTTATTTTTCATAAAAAAAAATTGTCATTTTCCTATCCAAATTCATATTTTTAGTGTATTTGATTGACAAAATTTTTTTCGTGAAAAATATTTTCCCTTTTTTCGGTCATGATGTAATAACATTTTCCTTGGAAACTAGGAAAACATTTGTTTAGGGAGGGGTGATTTTTATTTTTTTTGAGTAATACACACTCTCTCTCTCTCATCTATCTAGCAATAAAAAATGCATAAGTATAATATTTTTTAGGTTGAAATTAAATTGATCTAACACATTTAATTAATAATTTTCATACAAATAAGTTCTAAATAATTCAATTGCCTATAATTTATTTTCTTTCTATACAAATTTCATGTTCGCTATTGAACGCATCATAAAAGATCTAATATGCTATTTTCATCATACATACTTGCATACATTAGGGGCGGATAGAGATGGATAGCCTTGGGCTTTAATCAAGCATTGCCCCAAGCCCATTTAAATTTTCATAGGTAGTTTTTTTATATCACTATAATTTTTTTTAGGGAAAATTACACGTTCAAGAGAATAAGTTTAGCCTATTTCAAAAATAAGAAAACAAGTTTGAAATTTCCAAAACAGATTTTTATTAAAAATTTTTAAATTTTATTTATGAAATACTAAATTATTAAATTAATTTATTATTAAATATTTAATTCTAATATAATATAATTAACCCCATCCCACCTTCACCACCCCTGCTGCTCCGGTAACCGTTTCGATCACCATCCTACTCCGGCAAACTTTTCGGCGACTTTCCGACGAACTTTCCAGTGATTGTCCGATGAACTTTTCCGGTGACTTCTCGACGATTGTTCCGACGAACTTTTTCGGTGACTTTTTCGATTCTGACAATTATTTATATTATTAATTAAATATATTGGTGTTACAATTATACAATTAATAGTCACATATACATAATTAATTGATCACATATTATTTTTGAGGT